AGTGAAATATATTTATGTTTGTGGTTGTAATGTGACAAAATATGGAAAAGTTCAAGGGGTATGAATACTTTTGCAAACCACTGTAGGTGCCACCATTCAACTGAATGGAGGCACGCTGCTCTCTCATTCGATAAGGCAAGCTCTAACTGGAATTTTTCCTGGAAGACGATGAAATGGCTTGCCTCTTGGTGCGAAACGTCCTAAAATGGCTTTGCAATGCCTTACTCTGCTTTCTCATTCTATTGATATGGCAAGCCCTAATAATAAATAGTACTTTTGTTAYTTCGACACATAGTAAAACTACCAGAATCCTGTTTTCAGGTCTGATACTTCAGGACTGATGTCATGAAAACTGATGAATTATTTCTTTAAGTTATTAGTGCTGCTTTATCTTGTGAGGGTGAACAAGCGAATAAGTGAGCACATAAATGCAACATGAACTGAAAGCCAATAAATACACATACTGTGTGTAGACGCAGTATGTTGGAACAAAATCTAAATAAGATATTAATGTCTAATATTTCTGCACAGTCATCATTTATCCATCAAGGCAGAAAGGAGCTACAGTTTGAACCCCTGTGAAAAAGTTTACCAACTTTGTATTAATATATTTTAGTCTCAGGTGAGAAAAAAATAAATTTTTTGTGTTCACAGGACAAACTACCAAGCACTGAGAAATATTGTTTTAAAGGGACATGTCTTTCCAGTGTKAGGAGATAAAAAATACAAGGTTACCATGGCAATCTGCTGCCTAACACGCTCCTTGGCAGCCTTCTCCTCTGCTTTTTCTCTGTTCCTTTCCTCCAGAAGTCGCTTGTTGTTCTCCTCTTCCTGTTTCCTCTTAAAATCTTGTACAATTTTCCCCATCTTCCTGCGCTCCATTTCTTTTTTTATTTCATTCTGAAGGAGGGAATTAAAAAAATTCAAACAAGGTGAAAAGGAAAGCTTCCCTAAGCTAAACAAGACGGGACTCAATGTGTAGTGACTACTGCCAGTGTGACATGACTAAATAAAAAAATTACAGATAAATATAAACAAAGTTCAAATGCTTTTTATTGTCTGACTCTGCATTGTCCCTCATTACAGAACTTTTTAGAAAACATGAAGTTGTTTTAAGAGCCTAGAAAGTCCGTCAATCTTCTTACCTCCTCTTCTCCTTTCTTCCTTTGCTCCCGTTTCTCTTCCAACTTCTTAGTCAATCTGACAAAAAAAAAAAAAAAAAACATTTTACTGTGAGAATGATGCAGCTGGGACAACAGCTAGCTAGTTTTCATAAAGTTGTTTGTAACATTTTCTTTTTAACTGTGGCCTGTATGCTTTGAAATATCGAATGTGGAGAGTGCCAAAT